GTGTGTATATTTTAGAATATCATAGCAAATTTTCATAATCAACTAGTTCATTTTAAACATGTTCGACTGTATATCTACAGATCCATTTAATAGACAATTTTTTATATGCAAAGACATGCCAAAAAATAAAACACTAGACCTCATAATAGATGTGGTACTATGTACCCATACTATCACCCAAAAAAAAAAAAAAAAAAACATCAATGCTACTGATGACGACGACAATGGTAAATGAATCATCATCAACATCTATCGGAGGAAAAACAACACAATCTGTACTGTTTGTTGGCTGCCCATAAACACCGCTCGTATAAAAATATCAAAAAAGAAAAAAAATTGGAAAAATAGATTTATTTTTTAAACATTGTTGATATTTTTGTTACGTTTGGTTTGTTCATGCAAATTACCTTGACCAGTGGATATTTGATTTTACAGAAAATATTTATAAATATATATAAATGATTACAGATTTCAATGTTAGTTTTTGCCAAGAAAAATCTTCATGGTGGCCAATTTTTAAATTGATGTGGAATTGGATATGGAACTCATCTTCATATTGAAAATCAAATCGATGAATTATCCATTAATGTCGATTTAAGTTGTTCGGAGCCAATATAACTTCTTGGTGTGTTGTAATTCTCTCCCTCAACTGCCAAAAAAGTGAGAAATTATAACTTAACATCACTTATTTATTTACATATCGACGCCTCAACTGCCAAAAAAGTTTATACGATACCGGCCATGAAATACATTTTTGCTTATAACTTAACATCAAAATTTCTTATTTATTTACTTTAAAACATATGTTCTTCCCCTCTTCCCCTTACGTTGACACATATTCTCCATTTCCCCTAAAACAGAAAACAAGTCAGAAACACGAACAACAACAAAGTCCCTGTTGGCCAACACCGTAATTAAATAGCCAATGGAGTATAACTAGTGATGTGGGTCAAATTGTCACACAAGTCAACGCCGGGAGTAATTGCATTGACCACAACACAACAGACAGTATCAAACAGAGAACATGGTGTGATTTTCCAACAGCAACAGCTGGCAAAATGTGAAATTGCAATACACGCACATTGTTGTTTGGTTTTCAAATTGTTGTTGTTGTTGTCGTTGTTGCTACAGTTCCAGTTCAATTTATGCAATTGTTCTCTCCCAGTGTCCTGTTTACATTCGTAAAATATGCATAAACACAGTTTGCTGTTTAAAAAAATCGATAATTTGTAGGCAAATGGAGAGAAGGTGAAGAAAGGAAGAATAAGTTACTGGTTATTTCCATGGAATAATATGTCACTTAATATTACTATTATTGTTCCATTCGCTGTATTTAAATTTTCACACGAAAAGGTTAAACGTGCGTGGCACACAATGTCCATATGTATGTAAATGAGTATTTGGCATATTTGTGGTGGGGATTTTTTTAGAGTTTTTAGTAGTGAAATTAATATATTGATTTGTAATTATATATTAGGACATATGTATATATATATATATATATATTATAAATTATAGTTCCGAAATGCATGGTTTCTGCTACCGGACGTAATAAAATGAATGTTTAACACGTTCAATTCCTATAGTTAGTTTCTTTTTAAATTTTTTGAAACTAAAAAAGTCGCATGGGAGATCTTTCCATATTGTGCAGATCGATCAATACAAACGATGTTGCCCTACCCGATGTAGCAACGGCATTTGATGTGGCACTTTTGACACCCACAGGCATAGTCTGGTAATTATCATTGATATCAGTCTTTTCAGTCTTCTTTTAGTATGCGACTCGATTTTTGATTTTAAAGCTATATTTTTTAGCGGCGTACGTTTACGTCTTAAAGCCACACACACCATCAGAAATAGATTTTTCTATTGGATTTTCGTCTAAAAAATGCACGTTTGGTCTTATATATGCAATTTCGAACCATTTAATGGAAATAATAAAGCACATTCTGTATATGGCCGATTGTACCCCACTTTAAAATGCCGAAAGTACCTCAAGGATACTTTCTATAGTTTTTGTTTTTATTGTTTTCTATCAATCTTTTAAAAACATATTTTTATTTATTTTTATAAGAATATACGTTGTTATTAACGGCTTTTTAATAACACTGGCTTAAAATTTGAAAAGTTATATACACAAAATACTTACGAAATTAAATGGAAATATTACAAAAACATCTGGAAATATTACAAAAACAAATATTAATACCCAAGTATCTAAATACACTTTTGAGCGAGAGATTTCAAACTTGGCGACAGTTATTTATTTAATATTCGAAACCTATGGATCAAAGCTAGTGATGTACGAAGAGAGCTTCATATCGAAAACACCACTGCCGAAGGTGCCGCAACGCTAAATCTGTCCCAGTCTCCCCTATCTTTTCATAGTTGAAGTACAAATTTCCTTTCATCTTTGTACGTTTGTTATAGAATAAATTACGTACGTTTTATATTTTTACATCGCTTCCAAAATACCAGCCTTATCAAAAGCCACAAATTTAAAGATATCCTCAGCCGTCAAAAACCGAAAATCCAAAAATAAATAAATATATTATATATAATTGTGTAGGCATTACAAGTTTGCAAGGTCTTTGAACCATGATGCAATATTCCAATCTATTTTCTTCTCCATCACGTGGGCATTAAAATATTTCTAGTTACAATTTAAGGAAATGACAAACTAAATTACCAATCAATGTGGGTTGAAGTGTTGCAGTGCCTCTTACTTGCAAATTTCTACTAGTATGTATTTCACATGAAATAAGAAAACGGAAGTATCACCTCTCTACCAGCGACAAAACCAAATCAGTACGTGCCAACATTGGTTTACAAAGGTGAAACTTAATAAAACAAATCAAACAACAATGAATGAGATTTTGTTTCTGTTTGCAGTATACGTATAAGTTTATGTGTGTTTGTTGTCAATACTAAACTGTCCCTCCGCCCGGCAAATATTGACATCGACACGTAAATGTCATTCGTTCATTTGTGTTTGCTTAACCGAGAAGTTATGATGTAAATTTGAAAAGTTAAAGCTTATTTAACGCCAACAGCACCGCCACACACCAAGTGTATGAACACCCTCTCGATACCTTTACTGGTATTTTTCCTTCCAATTGCCTGACACCACCTTCACCTTAAATATTCCAATAGATATATAGATATGAGTTGATCTACAAACATACATACAAAGTGGTTGGCATCATAGTTACAGAAACGAAAGCAACAACAACAACAACACATCCTCATTGTCAATATTACGTATTGAACTTATTTTGTATTGGCACACAAAAGTGTGAATGTTGTGCTATTACACACACTACCTACATTCAGTGCGGGCAAAGTCAGCATGTGCTTGGCATACCAACTGACTGGCAATGATGACACCCTCTTTGGTCTTTAGTCATGGTTATGACAATTGCCGTTTTTCCCCACCACAGTTGTTAGCAGCATCTCATCTTCATCACCGTATTCAGCATTCCCATGCCACAGATTCGGTGAAACCACGATTGTTGAATTTTTTCCTTTCTTCATTTCTTCGATTGGCATTCATGGTGAAATTAATAGGATTTAAGTCAGGCACAGACACAAAATTTAGTAATTTCCTTTAATTTGACGAATACAATGACAACTCTCTAGTCAATGTAAATATTTACTTACCTTCCATCGTAACAATAACAGCAAAAATGTGTAAGGATAAAGTTCATTTAACTACTATTTAGTTAATTGTTGTCTTTGTCTTTGTTAGGACAATTTGTAATTGGATAATTGCTCTAAGGACTTATATTAAGCGAGTCTTCTAATTTGAGCACATAGTTACATATGTATATATAGATTTTTTGTAATGCTGTCTAATTACAGCTGTTGACTATTTTATTCTGTTTGTAATTATGTAGTGTTAGCATTTAGAAGGAGAATAGGCAAGCGACAAACTAAAATTCAGATAAGGACAATTGGATTGACGTAACCTAAACGTTGTACATTCTATATAGGTATTTTTGTAAAGGGAATTTGTTGGTACTAGAAGGAACATTTGTCTTATGTCGGGGCTAAAAACTGATTAAAACCTCAATTAGAATGCTAATAATTAAATTTTAGTTGTCGGAAGATTTACTTTCCGGAATAGCCATCCTATTTCTAATACCAATGAAATTTCGCAAAGGATAGTATTCAGAAAAAAAAAATCATCTAAAATGTTATTTTCCAATAGCCATAATAATCCTAAGTATACAACTTCTGGTACTTACAGTATACCTGTTAAAAATCTGTCCAGGGCTCATTCCGTTTGCAACACCTCTATATATTAGATACCATAAATCCGTAGTATTGGATTAAAAATGTATATTCCACAATCTAACTTTATTTCATCTTAATAAATTCAACTACAGCATGAAAAAAAGGACAATTTGTCAAAATCAATGAATTTAACCACAAATTACTTAAAAAACATCAAATCGATTTAAATTTTTCACTTCGTTACGTTTTCCAACCGTTATAACCGTCTGAGGACAGGCATGGGGTTTCTACTTCGATTCACTTTACCATCAAAGAAACCAAAGTCAACCGCAAATTCATTATTAACGTTCCACTCCTTTTTCCTTTTCCTTTCCATGTCATTCTTTCTGCTACCTTTTGTAGGAAACGGCGAATAACGGGAACACCGCAAAGATATTTGAAGTTTGAAAAAAAAAATAATAAAAATCTCAGAAAGCAAAACGAAAGAAGTGAAAAGAAAAGGAATTAATGCATTTATATGGAAATACAACTGCATTTTAAACTACACCCCCAAACCACGACATACCACACACTCTGAGACATTCGTTTATCCTTACACCATTGCCACCAAAGAACAGAGAGGAAAAAAAACATCCATTTGACAAACGAACCGAGTGTATAAGACTTGCAAAAAAAAAGGCAGCAGCATAACAAAAGCCCATACAACTGGTTCACCAGTCAACTGCATCAACAGGATACAAAAAAGGCTTTCAGGATAGTAGCAACTACCACAGAAAACAACAGCAATGAGTAAAGCAACAACACCGCAATACACCTATATACCACCACCAACAGCACCGCCATCCTATCAGGAGGCTGTGGGTGGTGTTAAGCCTGTGGGACCATTTACTCCCGTTCCCATCCCCGTGGTGACAACCAGAAACGATGACATTGTTACCACAGTAGTGCCCATAGGACGCACCGCCACGCACATGATCTGTCCCTCGTGTCATGCTGAAATTGAGACAACTACTCGCACAACGCCCAGTATGATGGCATATATATCCGGTTGTCTTTTGGCATTATGCGGGTAAGTTGCAAATGAAATGAACGCTAAGCTGCCCCTTTGTGCCGTACTCTGCTGGGTGGCAGATGCAAATGAATTATGCAAGTGGAACAAAATAATCTTCATGTTGTGTCTTCTTTTTCTGTTTCTCATTTGCATTACAGATGTTTTCTGGGCTGCTGCCTGATACCCTGTTGCATTGACGGTTGCATGGAAGTGCATCACACTTGTCCCAATTGTAAATCTTACTTGGGCCGTAATAGACGCTAAAGCGGAGATTATTAAGCCAACAACTGCCTCTTCTTTTGGAATCTAATGAACAAATATTTTCAAATTCGAAACGATAAGAATAAAAACAAAAACGATTTAACGAACTAACTTATGATGCTAAGCAGCTCAAACTACTAATGGCAAATTAATTTAGACTAAGGCATAGGCTCTAAGCTGTATCACGAATACTTGCAAAGTTTTCAAAATTAACAATAGTATAACGTAATTTATATGACAATATTTGTTTAAGGATCCTTTTGGGTCCAACGTGTTGTTAACTTATTACAAACAAAAAATGATGCTTTCAATGGGCAATTGATTCGAATATTTTTAACAATTAGTTTTACTAAGAATTTTTATAAATAAATGTTATTGAAAATCAAATAAAATTGCCTTATTATTTATTTCTGGGACAAAAGCAAACATTTAATAGCTTTTAACAATTATGTCCCATATAGATGTCAATTGGATTTATATTATTTCATGGAATAGTGTTACATTTCCTATAACTAGAAAATATGAAAATGTTCCATAGAAATAAACATTGTAATATCAACTAAAAATAATCAAAAATATTCTGTAAAATAATAATGGGATTAAGGTCTTCTATATTCGAATTGTTTTTTGGCAAAAGATTTTTTTATTTCCCAATAATCATAATTCCTTACAATGCTGAGACCCAAATAAATATATTATAAAACATCTAGCCCTATAGTGAATTCACCCACCATTAAAAGAGAAGTTAAAAAAATCAGACCAAGGATATTAAACGAAAGAAGGTATTTCAAAGTTACAAACTATTACTAATTCATTAGTTGATTACATTACAATAACAATTTAATCCAACAAATGCCATTTCTTAATATTTAAATCTTACATAAAAACATATGTTCATTTTGACAGCTATATATTAAATTTACAGTTCCAGATAATGTAAATAAGCGTATAATTCTTTATAAATCTTCTCTGAATCCTTCGTTACAAACACATACTCACATACTTACTCACATGACAAATTGACATTTCAATTTTAGCTGATTTCCAAGAAAATGTGAAATCATTTGAAAAATCTGCACTTCATTGATTCTCTTTGGGATTTTGCCATCATTGTTGTTAATGCTATCAAAGACACATTCAAAGACACCCCTTTTTCCTAACGCATTTTTGTCTTCTTATTGTCTCTTTACAGAAACACCTAAAGGCACACAACAAGTAAAGACTTTTTGCATTTCAATTCTAGAATAAAGAAAGCAACAACAACAAATCGAAGTGGTAACCATAATCAGGATACTTTTTGCTGACATTCATCTCTAGATACTGTATTGAACATACAACAACATATTTAGCATCTAAGGAGCGCACAATACAAAGTACACACACACACTTGAAAGAAAAGCTCAAAAGGAAAAACGCTATTCGCACATAAATATCAATAAGAGGAAGAACAAAAAACGACAGTAACAAGATGAGCAAAGCCACAGGACCCACACCACCCCAATACACTTATGTACCACCACCATCAGCTCCACCATCCTATCAAGAGGCTGTGGGTGGTGTTAAACCGGTGGGCCCTTTCACACCCGTTGTTCCTCCCGTGGCCACAGCAACAAATGCCACCATTGTAACGACAGTTGTACCCATTGGACGTACAGCTACACATATGATCTGTCCCTCATGCCATGCTGAAATTGAGACAACAACACGTACTGAACCAGGAATGATTGCATATTTATCAGGTTTTGTAATTGCATTATTGGGGTAAGTAGGAAATTGTGGAAAATTATGATGTCAAGGGAAATAACAAAAATGCAATACATTACTAGTCATTTTGTCTTCTTCTATAGAAACAAAAAAACATTATCTTCTAAAAAGCTATTGTTGTATAGGTCAAGACCATTTTTTTTATAGACGAAGATTTTTAATCCATAAAAATTAAGCCTATGTATATAACTATACTTTTTATATTTAAAAGAAAATTGTATCATTTTTGTCTTCCCTTAATTAAAAATTATAACCAACTTCATTCATTCTTTATTAATTATTTATTTATATGTTTTTTTGTAGATGCTGGCTGGGTTGCTGTTTAATTCCTTGTTGCATTGATGACTGTATGGATGTTCATCACACATGCCCCAATTGCAAAGCCTATTTGGGTCGTTATCGACGATAAACTACACGGAATGGCCATCGAAAATGCACAAAAGCATGGAAACACATACACACAATATTCTTATATTACAAAACAAAACTTTATATATAGAGAATACGCTTAGATGGTTTACGAAATGAAATGACGGCTTCGAAATGAAAAAGAAACAAAAACTTAGTAGAAAACAAAATAATTAAAGAGAGACTAATTTTAATATGAATGTGACAAAGAACATAAAGCTTCTTTATATAAAAAAACTATTCTACTTCCCAATAAAAGAAAATTTAACCGAATCTGGAAATGTCAATCTAAAGTCAGTCGATCATATCATCATTTACTCAAATTATGTCAAATTATTTACCTGTATTTTGTTTTTTTTTTCTTGCTTTTGTTTATAAACAAACATAGAATTGAATACAATTTTATATTTTTTAAGTCGTGTTCAAATAAAATTACAAATAAGTAAGATCATGTTAACACAACTATATTATATGCGAATATTGCCTAATACAAATGCAACCAACTCTTCTACAAAATCAAACAGCCCATTTCACCTACCTATGAATACATGTAATCTCTTTTTAATTGAATAATATTATAATTAAAACAAAAATACCAACTTTATACTAAGTATTACAAAAACAATGTAATATTAAAAAACACAAAAAAATATGAAATATTGATTTTTTTCTTGAATAAATTATGTAAACTTTTTATGTACAATAAATGTAATGAAAAATGATAAAGCGTTAAGTTGTTATTTGGTTTTGTTTTTAAAATAAACACGTTTTTTTAATATATTGATGAATAATTGGGAATGAATGTCTCGAGGCTTTGATGCAGTAATATAAAATTAATGCAGTAATATTAAATTAAATTAAAAGAAAAATATGTATCCGGTTTTTATTACTTAATGCTCAATAAGATATGATTCTAAATGAAGGTGGTGTATGGTGTGAGTAAATTGAAAAATAAAAACGGGTTTTCTGCAAAATAGTGAGTGATATGTTAAATAAATCTTCATAGAAGTAACCTGGAAAAAGTGTATGGTTCCCGTAAAGCTACAATATAATTTCTTTATATTTTTACGATATCGAAAAAATAGTCAAAATTAGTCAAGTACAGACCAGTTACTCCTATTTTTTAGCAGTAGAAGATTCTAGTTTTCCAGAATAAATTGAGAAACATTTATCGGTTAGGGCCCTATCGTGTAAAACATTGAACCAAATATACGAGAACACAAAACAAAATGGCGTTTTTTGTAAACTTTTTACTTGAAAATTTTTTCCGAGTAAAAATTGTAAACAGATAACTGCTGATTAGCTGTTATGTTGATTTTGAAGTATTGCCATTTAATTTTGGCATATTTACTAGATTTGCGTTGCCGAACTTTTCAAAGTATTTTGAGATCGATTTTGAAATGTTTCCCTTTTACTAGCTTTACTATTAAAAAGGTACTGGAACATACTACATATTATTAAAAAAATCCATAATTCCTACGACTTTAATTTTTTTGAGAAGAAGTAGTTGTCAACCCATTTAAATACCCAATTTAAATGGGTTGACAACCATTTCGAAACCCATATTGCATTAATGAATTTTAAAAATCAAAAGAAAATAAAAGGGTCCTCGCCGATATCTCCGGAAATACAAAAAAAAAAGAAGTATCCTATCGTAATCATGGCCCTAAGGACTACATATGGTAAAAATTATAAAACTGGGCCGTAAACTAGACATAAGACTTCTTTGAAGTGAGGAAAATTTACAAATTTATCGGGTATGTTCTGGAACTCACGATGTGTCCTTTTAACTTCAGACTAAGGGAATAATTGAAAAAAAATATTGTCTAGTGTGCACGTTACATTACTTACTATAGTAATTATTTGCCATGTTCCCGTACTGCTAGTTTTTCTACTAGTTTTTACTATTTTTTCGATATTATAAAAGAATATTTGTTATCGCAGTAAAAAAATGTGTGCAGGTTCTGGAACAGACCAATTGTTAAAAGAAGAACAAATGGTAGCGTTGCCAACCAGTTTTACCAATAAAAGCACAATTCGATAGTGGTTATCGATAACGCGACTCAACAGTCTTCATCCCACCTCATACGTAAATATATCTTTATACCTCATCGAGTTCTTTTTAGCAGGAGGAATGTTTTTCTATTTTTCCTCAGTCGGCGAAAAACGTAAATTTACGCATGCAATTTTAATCGGAATAAAAATAAAAACAAATATAAAACAACAATAATATTAAGGGCGTTGACAACCAGAAAAAAATATGGGTACGTTCACCAACAACCATCAACCAATTCAGCAGTGTTGTTGTTTACCTTTTATATTCCCCCCTCTTCGACAGCAATCAACATTTGTTTTTGATTTGTTCACATTTCATCACAACATTCGTAAACAATGCAGACCAACGAACAACAACAACAGAAGGCGTATTTGTTTTTTGTTTTGAATTGTGTTTTCCTATTATTTCCATTTGCCGTCTCTCTCTTATTCTCTTATGTGTGCTGGTGTTAGTGAGAGAAGAGAATTGACATAAGAGAGGAATAAAATAAAAATAAAAGTGGAAATGTATGCGTACGATAAATGAACGAAATAAAAATTAAAGATTAGAAGAATATTTTCATTTTGACAAGTTAAAAGCCCAAATGAAGGTGTGAAACGCAAGAAAACGTCCTCTTTTTAATAGAAAACGAAAAATACTACCAAATTAAATTGCTAGATGTATTGAAAACGAAAGAAAATCACCAATTAAATGAAAAGTGCGCAAATTGTGAAGAAATTAAAACAATCGGTAAAAATAATAATAGTAATTTGGCAGCAGGCAAAGTAATTAAGTGAAATTGATTCAAGCTGTTCCCCCCAAATACAAAATGGTCTTACGTTCGGGCATTATTTTACCATTTCAATTTCGAGACACCAAGAAACTGTTGATGATTGGAGTGCCCGAGGAAAATCGTGATTTAAGTATTTGGGATTTAAAAAATGTCGGTGAGTGTTGCTGAAAATACAATTTTCGATGGGCTGGCCTTTTTCGTTCGTTCACCATTTGCTAATTAATTAACAGACAAAATTCCTTTTAGCATATACATGAAACAATGTTAGCTTGTCCCGCCGTCCCGTCATTGTCGGTCTTCCATGCCGACACTATGGCAATCTTTTAGAGAATTCAAGTGTGTATTCAGTTTGCAATTAAAAATTTTGTCTTCTATGGATGAATGTTGTTTGTTCTATGGTAGTTTTATATGTTCGTGCCGTTTGCCATCGAATGAATGGATTTGCCAGACTTTTGGGGGATTTATTGGGATTTCAAAAAATGTCCAAATTTGGAAACAGCTGCACTAAAGTTGTGGGGTATTTAGTGTTAATATGTCTCATCACTACATGTACTTACAATACCGGGAAATATCCGTTAGAGGTCCAGTATTGACATTCAACGTACCAAAGGTATCCCTTTTGAACATCCGAAAATAATACCCATATTACTCTTCTTAGGTTATAAATGACGAATTTTCAGCTCATAGTGTAATGTTTCTATACGATGGTAACGATCACAAGCCATATGTATCCTAATGAAACGACTGCACTCGTAACGATTCAAAACCATCCCGCAATATGGAGGCGGATGGAATCTAATGCTGAGATTCATTCATCGGTATAATGACGGTATTAACAATATCCAATTCTATTTAAAATCACAATTTCTGCACACAATGTTTGCTAGCATTGTCCTGTCCGCATATTACGGATTTTGATATATGGCTTAGCCCACCTATTTCTGCTGTTTGGGCGCGTTTATGTAGTAATGTATGACTTAAGTCTTTATTTTTACGGTATCTTATGCCTGTTCTTTCTACTGTGAACGAATACTTTATTTTAATAAGTTTATTCAGAAATTACTTCACCTCCAGAAATATTACAACGGTCGATTTCATAAGAAATTCAGGGTTTCCATATGTGTATGTTCCAGGAAGACTATTATTTTTTGAAATAAATAATCACGGCTCAAAAACTTCGTAATGGTATTGACTTTTTTTAAGGCATTTTTGTTGCTTATATGTTTACATAATACTTTCGCCATTACCTTCGTAATATATTTACATACGTATTCGTCTTAGATCCGTATTTGTGGAAATTCTAAATCGACATAGTGGAGTCCCCCCTTTGAAGTCACGAATGAGCTTTCGAAATTTTGCACTTTTATGTCCTTTCAAGTAGCATCTAAATCTAAATAAATACCCAAAACAGTCCACAAATAAGGAATAAATATGGCATCCCAAAATTCCCATTAAATTACTATACGCAATTTTGTTTATTTGATGTTCAGTCCGAACCTTTGTTTTGTTTTCATTCGTTGAGCAAGTCAATGGTAAAGAAAAAATTGAGATAGCTTGTGCGAGAGCATGGGCATGATTAGACTGCGTGCAAAAGAGAGTATGCTTCTATTTTTAAACATTTTATTATTATGCTTCTATATTAATTACTTGTAGAGCGCTTTCTGTTATATTGCGCGCCATCAACAATAATAACACAATCCACCACCAACACCACCCATCAGAGAAGCGATGCCAAAACAACAAAATGATAATGGATTTTAATCTAATATACAACTTTTATATATTTTCATAAATTGTGCCCTGTTTTCAATATTTAATTTATTGTCTTTGTTTCTTCTACTTTTTTCAGTTCGAGCTGCTTTTGGAATTTACAATTTTGAATTTCGCAATAAAAAGATTGGTTTCAACATACCCGATGAATTGCTATTGCAATATTTAGCCCAACGACATGACTTAACCAACTTCGTTATAGAAATTGGCCAGGGTGAGTTGTTTTCTTAATTAGTGCTAAGATTGTAAGAAATTTTCCAGTCTATGCAAGTTATATTGAAATTGTTATATGTATAGTTTTAAAATAGAATCATTTTTATGGCATATGGCATATTAAAACATTTGACACTAACTTCTTCTATAAGGACATTTAATTCAAAACATATTTTTTAGTATAATAACAAAGGTTCGATAGAAAAAAACTATCTCCAGTGTGTTTGGAAATTATTTCATTCACATTTATTTTTAATAATTCAAACATTTTTTGATAGTACAGTCGAAATTGCTTATAACGACGGTCAAAGGACCGGCAAACTTGCTCGCTATAAGAGATATCAAATAAGTGTTATCAAATAAAGGATAGAACTATTAGCGGATACCGTCCTTACAACCGATATGACGTTAAAAACGATATCGTTATAAACGATTTCAACTGTAAATCAATCGTATTCGTATAAGTAACATAGTAAAATGTTACATTTAAATAATAGTAAATAGGAAAATATTACATTTAAAAAATATAGTTAATTCTCATTCGTTGGAATAAGGAATTTTTAAAGTTTTAGCCTCCAACTTTTCCAATAGTTTCGCTATAATTTGTGTGTGGAAATTCTCCCTGCAGAATATGTTCAAATAAGGTCTGAGTTTTGGAATATCGTCTGTGTAAAAAAGAACCCTGTGGTGTTCTTGGCCTTTAAGGGATTATGTACTTTTCATTTGATTTCAATTGTTTTAAAAGTTTTGTCGTTCATCTTGACAAATCAATTCACTGATTTGTAATTCATCCGTCTGGATTTCATACTGGAAAAATTATACTTTTATTTCCCAGTATAAAATATATTGAACGGAATCCAAAAAATCACACACAGTTAATTGATTGAATCGTTATATGATGGTTCGTTATATACTTCTTTGTTTATAATTTCTAATTAATAATAATTTCTTTACTACTGTAATGTTTGAAATCCCTTTATTGTATATAGGTTCCACATACATTTTGTAATTAGTTCTGCCCTGGAAAAAAGTTCAATATGTTTGCCTGCTTTGACATTGATATCGATTATGCCGATTAGGATTCTCTGAAAAAATAACCTTTTGTATTTTTTAGCACGATAATCGAATTTATAATAATCAGGACATAATATATATATATATATATATATATGTCAGTTTTTCAGCGTGGTAAATTGTATATACCATGACCTTGATACGGTTGTCGCGTAAGGCTGTTTGAACATAAAATGAACTAACATTTGTAAGATAAATAAGGTTTTAGATCATATTCATTTTCTAGGGGGTTTCCATGAAATATTATATGAGGTCAGACTTTTTCCTAACACTAATAAATCAGAATAGTTATATGAAAATTCTATGCTATAGTCTGAATTTGATCAAGGGTATATAGAAGCGTATATTTTGTAAATAAATTTCAAATTAATATTTTTACAAAATTCTCTTGTTCTAAATAATAAAATTTTGTAATAATATTGTTTTAAAAGTTTAAACTTTTTAAGCTACCATGTGAAATGTTGAAAGTATATGTTAAAAAAACTACATTTCGAAATATGTTTGCATTTAAGTGTTCATGTTCATAATGCGACAAAGAAAACAAAAGCACTTGTCGATTAAAAATCTGCGTCCTACGTCCCGTTAACTTATTGCTTGTAAGTCTAAAAGTTTATATTGTCTATTAAAACGCAGCATTTTAAAATGCTTTTTCTTACAGGCAACGAAGAGACAAGCTTGTTGAAGGAACAACTTACCTATGAACCGTCTTGTTCGCAAAAGCAATCATGTGTGACTCTGCCACCGAAATCAAGCGAATCATCGTCCAACTTGGATTCACCATTACCCCCAGGCTCTCAATTATCATCACAAATGTATGTAGGCGGTGGTGGTGGTGGCATGAATGTGCCCAATGCTATGGGACTTATGTCAAGATCTCGTTCCCCACTCGATGCTATAGATAATCAAAGTGACAACACTAGTAATCTTGAAACGGAACATAAGATAAGGGTATCTCAGGTTTATAATCAAAATAATAACGATACAATTACACAAGCGATAGGACCCATGGTTGTGCCAAAAGCCGAACAGGATGATTCGGATATGATGGAATCAAGAGATTTGAGATACGATCGACAAGAACATCTAATGCAACAACATCAGATGCAGCAGCAACTACAGCACGAACAACATCACCAACAACAATTACATCAACAGCAATTGGTGCAGCATTTTGGGGGCAACTATGCAACTCATCATTCGATATTGGCAAGTCAAAACAATTCACCTTTGAATAGTCAAGGATCACCATTGGGCCAGGGTCCTTCGCCACAGGCTGCGGTACAAGGTGTGGCAAATGTTCAACACAACTTGACATCAGCTTCGCATCAATCACAATATTCACCCGTTATGATGAATCGGTTTAGAAGTAAGTTTGCATGTTTTCGATAGAATTTATAATGTTTTACACTTCATTTAATTTCTATTTCAGGAAGAGGTGAACGTATGTCTAAGGATCAAAAAGAATTATATGTGAAATTTTTCGAAGAAAATCCATGTATGCTAACCCAACGACGTAATGATGTTTTATTAGAACCATTATGGAATAAATTAGCCAATTTGCTAAATAGTGTTCCCCAGGGGGCTGTAAAAAATGTAGAAGAATGGAAACAGGTATTTACAATTTGTAAGGTTTAATGTACCACTTAAACTAATTACTCTTTAAATTAATTTACGTTTTCAGACATTCGATGCATGGCGGTATCGTGTTTTCATGTATACCCGTTATAATAGTAAATTAGAAGGAGCCGCCGCCCAAAACCCCAAAAACTATAAACCACTCACGCCCACCGATCAACGAGCCTACGCCATGTGGACTAGTCATAAGAGTACAGCGCCCCAAGATTTTGAAAAAATGGAAATGTTTTCATCCTTGGACGAATCGCAAGCCGACTATGATTACTGACTACGACATTTACAAATGTCTTCCTCTTGGTGTCGAAAGTGCTAAAGAAAACTCCAAGTTATCTTTAGTTAGTGGCATTTCTGAGACGCCGTAAAATCCCAGATTAAAAAATACTGAACATATATAAAATTAAAATTTTATTTCTTTTTCTTCACTTAAAAATGACATATTTTTGTAAAACAAATGATATAATTTCATAAGTCCACAATAAACCACTGTGTTTATGCCAATGTGCAATAAAAATGATTAAGTCCACAAAATCAATCTATTATGAATATTCATTTCTTTATTTAATATAATACACTTATTCACGTAGTTAAATTGTGGGAGCATTATGTCCAAATCGCTTTCCGAAATGTCAATATGGAGGGATAATGCTGAATGTTCTTTTTATATGTTAAAAGTTTACAAAACTTTTAAACCTTGCCGTAAACCTTTAAAACACCTAAACCACAAAACTAATCAATCCACTGTTTGTTCTCTAATCTTCTTTGCAGTTTTTGATCCCTGTAAAGACAACTATCACACACTAATATCAAATTGTTTTTCCTGCCGTTGTGGTTCAACACAAAAACAAGCTTTAGATTTACATGAACCTTCGAAAAACCAACACAACACTGCCAGTGGACCAGAACACAATAGCCATCATTCTCACCATCAACAACATCAGTCCACAACACATCAATTTAGTAGTGCTTCCAATTCACAACATTCACCGGATAACGATGAAGAGCCACCCATGAAATTACGCATTTCAAATGTGAATTTACTGCCTTCCAATAATATGGACAGTACTGCCACCGAGCATTTTGAAGTAGAGCCCAAAATAGACTATGATGAAGTATCATCGCCATCATCGCTACATACACAGCAACAGCAACAACAGTCACAACATCACCATCAGCCTCCGCCACCACCACCCCAGCCATCAACAACTGATGGTAGTTCAGTGGCTAGCCAACAACAACAAGCAGCAGCAGCGGCGGCGGCAGCTGCAGCTCTAGCCTTAAGCTCATCAACATCAGCTTTAAAATTGCACAATAATCCCGATACCGATGAAGAGACCACTTATATGGAAAGGGAATTACAGGAGCAGGAATTGCATTTAGAACGCATGCATGAATATTTTCTACAGCAACAACAGCATTTACAGCAGCAACAACAACATCAACAGCAGCAGCAACAACAGCATCAGCCCCACATAGAATCTTTATTGCATGAAACAACCACATCGAACAGCCTGCGACGTAAGTTTTGTTAGTAAATTTCAATTCAAACTCATAGCTTAACACGGTTTACCATTTTCATTTCCCACAGAGCGTAAGGAACGTATGTCTAAGAAACAAAAAGAAGTCTATGTCAACTTCTTGGAACAACATTCAATCATTAACGAACATAGACGCAATGATCCCGTATTGAATCGTTATTGGATTAAATTGGCCGACATACTAAACTCAGTACCTCAAGGAGCAGTTAAACATGTTGCCGAATGGAAACAGGTTTGTTTGATAGATTTTGGTAGAACGACCGAACATAATTGTTGTCATAGGACAATGTGAAAGGAAAAAGTAAAATTACCATTTTTAATGTTGGCCCCTGAAAAGAAATTTATATTTAATATCTGTCTGTAGTCCCACGACAGTCATTACATTTAAATTTATATTCTATAATTACATCACAATTCAACGTTTGACTGGAGACTTATTGTTTTTTAGTCTCAAACTTCAATATTGCTTGTATATGAGATTTAGATTATAGGAGAGTGTAGACAAATGAAGAGAATATAGCACACATAGGATAATATAGCCAAAACATAGTACATCAAACAACCACTGGTATGTTCTTCAGTATTCCTTCTCCTTCTCGGTTTTCATTATTTGCGCCCAAAAAGTAAGCGTAGAAAACAGTGTACAATATGAAATTAATTCCAACTGTGGATTTTCCAAACCTAAAAAGTAGTCTAAAATTTCTTAAGTATTTTCTTTATATATATATCTATATCGTTGGCTTAACGTGAAAAGGCAACAAGTCCACTTTTTGAGATTTTGATAAAAACAAGTTCAATAGGTGCTTATACATACATCGATTCCTAGCCGTTTTTTTCTCTCCTGTAAAATTGGAAAAATATGGACTTATTGCCTTTACATGTTAAGCCAGCGATATATTACATAAATTTCCTTATAATCGATGATTTTAGAATCGTTTTACTTAGACATATCTAAGATAATCATAATAACCCTTTCATTGATGCGCACAGGTGCAAACATGCACTTTACATTTGTTGACCATATCGGTTTCAAGAAGAAGATGACAGATCATTATCCATAAGCCTAGATAGTTCTTCGACTTCAAAAGATTGGGGGAAATTATGAATTGTTGTTTCCCTAAGAATACGTGGTGTAAGAACAACTTGGTTTGAGTCCCAAATCCGTTGTTAAAGTGAGCAAAATTGGGAAGCGAAACTTTGAAATTGAAATTGTGCTGCAATTCATAAACTCCAACCTCCAACTTCTGGTTGCAAATCGATGCTCTGCTTGTAATACCTCCCAAACATTTTTATATACATTTCATTCATCATATGATTATATCAGATATATATTTTATGATTTTAAATTTCTCCTTTTTCAGACATTTGACAATTGGCGCTATCGGGTATTCCTTTATGCGCGCTACAATTCAAAAATAACCGGCGAAGAAGCCTTAAATCCTAAATGTTTCAAGCCACTCACACTGACAGATAAACGAGCCTATAACATATGGATACGAAATCCAGATACAGCACCGCCAGACTTGGAACATATGCGTAATGTATTTATGAATCTTGAAGAGGCTCAACCTGAATAACAAACGGCTGAAACCAAATGAAAACCACAACGCTGCTAATACTAATTTTGAAACTATTGTTCAAAGAGTATTTCTTATTTTATTTTTTATTCAAATTTTGTGCTATAAGAAACAACAAATCGCCATGCCATCTTTTTGTGTGCTAATAATCACTTATAAGCAAACTCCCTATTATTAATCACTACAAATTTCTAAAATTATAATTGAAATTAAAAAAAGAAAGTTATAAATACAACTTTTTTCGCAACTACCACAACTATTACTAATGTTACGAAAGAAAAACACGTGTACTACTACAATTGTTGTCTGTTTTTTAGCCATGTAGGTTTTTTTTATTTGTATTATGTAATTTTTCTGTTGTTTGTGTTTTAATTTTACAAAAATGAAATAAAATGTTTATATCTAAATTCAATATTTATCTGTGTATAATGCTCAATAGTTTTTAAGAGTCGTTCCTTTTTGTTTTGTTTTTATATACATTTATTATCTAAACGTTATCTACAAATTTCTAATAGTTATGTATATGTTTATATAATTTTTATGTTTTGTAAATAAATTGAATATAAATGAAGAATATTTTCTGGGTTGTTTTATATAAACTAGGGACATGTTATGCGATGCGAACTATCGTGGAAAATGAAGAATAGTGTTGTTTTGATATTACAATGGAAATTATTTCATTCATATAGCGCCTAAAAGTAGGCTTTAAATTGGTAATATGTTTCATTGCCAATTTAAAAAATGGTTGGCAACTCACCGCTACTTTGGTCGTTTTTATCTTTTTACGTTTCCATTGATTTTACTTTTATGGTAATAGGCGAACAGACTCGTGTAGCAGCTATATTTTGTCACAAGCCTCAATTCAAATCGATATAACTCGGCAACGGATGAACCGATTTTCGTGGAACTTTGACTACTACTTAGACAAAATTATGTAGTTTCTATTTGTTTTATTGGCAATTGGGAAAAAATAAAATTTCGGTGGCAAATCTGGCGATTTCAGAAAGTAATCAAATCTTGGATAAATTGTAAAAAATTTCGGAATTTTTAAGAACAAATGTCAATATATTGTCGTTTATGTGTCATGAAATGTTCTATAACTTAAATTTGGGTGGCAAAGGCGAAATATAGCTCTCAAAAGACAAACATATTTTAGTGTGTACAAATAGGAACTACATTAAATTCAGTTTTTTGAGCACAAAATTGAAAGAAATACTATTCTAGGAAGAATATATTAGCATCGAAAAGTAAAGTATCGTTGTTCAGTTGTAAATAGTGTAAAAATTTCTTAGAATTTGGAAAATTGATAAGAGTAAAATCCAAATATTTTGCGACAAATTGTGGATGTAGGAACGCTGGCTGTGTATGTGTTTTCGAAAGCTTCCATCCAATTGATAAGATATTTGATATGACTTATTTATATCGCCCAAGGACGAAACCGACCTATCCTATGTCTGCTTTATTAAAACTACATTTTAAACAACAGACGATCGAATTATGTCTAGAATATCATGCTTCATGTCAATCGGATTAAACTGTCTTATATGAATCGCATATATTTACAGAAAAAATATAATACGAGGGTTAACCAATAATCCTTGCAATAAATTTAAAGGTAGAACAATTGGAAATTTGATTGGGATGTTTTCTATTTTTAAACACAAAACAAATGAAAGTTAATTAAGAAAAAGGCATACTTTTTGGACCTAAAAATTATTACTATTGCATCCAGAACCTTTTAAATATTTGACATTTGTTTTTTGGAATGTTTCCTATTTCTCTACGTAAATTAATGAAATTTATTGATAATGCAAATGTCTGATTTGTGGACCTTAGATTATATTTTTGCTTATCCATGGTTTCAATCATTGTTTAGGTAAAGGTGTATTTTAAGAAAATATTATGAAGCTTTCGTATACAGAATTTCTTCGATGCGTCCTACAAAGGATGTATAACTATTAAAATATCGATGCTCTATACAATTATACTTACTTTATGCAAAGCAAATTAATGCAATAAAAAAATAAATACAACGTTATTATATTTTTTATGTATATATTTCTTTTCTTTATTTTCATTCACAACATTTTTCAATTTATTTATTACACAATTTATGTTATATCATTACTCATATTTTCTTCGTTTATAATAATTTGTTATATTTACTATACTCGTTTTGTTTGTTTTTCTTGTTCCGTTTAACATTTAAATGTGATGACATTCTGTTTAGAGTTTAATAATTTTGTTGTTTTAACTATTGCAATATGTATTATTTATTTATTTTTTTTTTGAAATTTCGCGTTTCATTAGTTCGTTTTGTTTGTTTCATTTTTAATTTAGTTTTCTTTTTTTGTTAAAGTTTGTTACGTTTTGCTTGGTGTAATTTGTTATGTTTCTTTACAGTAAATATTAACATATTCATTTAATTTTAATGTATATATATGTGGAGTTTACTGCCTGGTGATTTAATTGCATATGTTCTTTTGTTTATGTCATTTTCAATGTTAAAACACAATATTCATTCTGTATAAAAAATGAATAACTAAAAACCTTAATACTTTTTAACGTTTACTTTTATACTTTGTATTTTATTTATTGTTTCAGTTTTTTCTTGTTTATTAACATTTAATAACTAATGTGTATAAGAAAATAAAATTAAATGAAAAATAAAATATATAAAATTTGTCTCTTATTTCGTTTGTAATTAAATAATAATAATAATCATACTTTTATTTATTTATAATTTCCGTTTGTAGTGTTGTTTTTAATACAAAATATACAAATATGACTTCTTAATTCATAATCCCATTATGTATAATAATTTTATATATATATATTTTTTCGCAATTTATTGTTAACATTTTGTTTAAGAGCATATGGTCATTATGGCTAACTAAAAATTAGATGTTTTGTTTGTTTAACAATTTTATTATTGTAACAGGTCATTTCCCATTTATTTGTTATTACAGTGCTACAACATTGGCATAATAACTGAAAATGTAGACATTAATGGGTTTTAACTTTAAATTTCCTATTTGAGAAGAAGAAAATTTCACTCAATTTTTCAGCAAACAAAAGAAAAATACATAGAATTTAGATAATTTTCACTGAAAACTCAGATATGATCCTGATCACAAAAAATATTTTGAAAGAACTGGGTTTATATGGTATTCTGATTTTCTGATAGCTAAAAGGATCTTAGTCCTTGGTCTTGTAGATAGTAACATATTAAATATTTAAAACCTATTTTTTGGCTCATTTATGAACGATTTAAATTTCTTTATAAAAAGCCAGGGACTAATACAATATGGAAAATGGGATCGCGTATTTTACAATCGTATTGTGTTGAAATTCATGACAATCAGTAGGTGTACACTTTTGCATATGAGACATTCTATTATTTACGGGTTTATGCTTGAAAATAGCAAAGTTGGAAGGAAAGTGTGTTCAACAAATTTAATTATATGGAATACACAAGAGAGAGAGAGAGAGTTTAAGAAATTATTGCCATCAAGATTCACGACAGATTGACAATAACGATTAGAAAACGTTCAAAATAGAAATAAAAAATATAATTTAATTTAAAATTAATTGAAAAGAGTTCAACAATGGAAGACTTAGTAACATTTAACAATACTTGTATATAATTTAAAAAAATAATAATAATTTTAAATACGCAATAAAGTCTACATTTTGTCATTAAACCAAGTCGTTTTTTGTTTGCTATAGCACATCGATTAATGTTTATTTCATTATTTAAAACATCTTCGTACGTCACGATTTTAATGGGGAAATATTAAACAATTTCTTTTTTTATTTGAACATTTTTCATTTTATTTATTTTATAATCTATTAACGTCTTTAGTATTTATTAAGGAAAAAACAAAACATAATATTAATTTAAATTTTGGGTGTTTAAAGCATTCTAATGATAAAATCTCAATTGGAACCACATTTGTTTGTAAATATTGCTACAATTTTTAATTTGGTGTCATATTTAAAAGGGTAGTTTATTTTTTATATCTAATTTTTTTATTTTGGAAAACTAATTGTTTGTTAAATCTTAAATTTAATAAGAACTGGTGCTGTATTTAGAAGATTTGAATTTAAACATTTGACAAGATATCATTCTAAGGGTATTTCGATCATAGTTTGTTATTTTCTTAAGGTTGGAAGGATAAAAAAGAAATAAACCTATGCAAAGAAATTTAATTTAGGATTTTGGAAACTCTGACTGGGACCTAATTTTTTGAGCTTGTTTAATACCATTCTTGAATGGTCTAAATAAAAACATCAATCTACCGATTTTAATGAATAACTATAAGAATAAACTCTGTAAACAAGCCAAATTCAGATTGATGTTTAAACATTATCATGATTTATTTTCATTTAAAAAATAATAAAATAATTTTATGTTTTATTTTTCAATTTCTTATAAAAATTGAAAAATAAGGCGATTTTAATATTACATATATTACATGCAAATAAAATTAAATGAAAACTATGACCAAACTTAAAAACAAAAACAATTTATAAATAATAAAATATAGAAAAATAGCTATACATATGACAAATTCCTGAAGCTATACTTATTGTTGTTGCAGTTGTACATAAAAAAGCACTATTTATCAATTATCTACATAGATGTGTTTGTTTATATTATATAGGATTTTCTTTACTTATTTCTCTTTAGTTCTGTCATTTACCAAAATAGCGGTGGTCACATTTGCCTCATCATCACAAAGAAGGAAAATAGTTAAGGAATTAGGGTTTGGTTGGCTTGAAGCGTGATATGCCTTACATTGTTACATATTGTTGTTAGCTACAATGCCACTTTCGATTTACACCTTAAATCCCATGGCTGCTGCCGCATTTGGCGGTGATGGTGTATTTGTTTGGGTTTTCACCAAACACGATTGTGAGGTATTGGCTAAACTGGCATCATCTAAACTGTCCAAATCTAATGCAGTATCAATCATGGTGGTGTCATGTAGTATACGCAAACGACTCGAACTCAATTCATTG